GGGGCCCTGCCCTCCTACATGGCAAGGCTGCTCCCCGCTGACACCCCCCCCCCCTGCCTGCCCTGAAGCTCAGTGCTGGGCCACAGAGGGTGGCAGAGAGGTGGTGGAATGCAAGGGAGAGAACTGGAGCCACTTTAACCTTCACATTCTCTTCCTTGACAGGGCCGGGCATCCAAGAAGCGGCAGCCCGGGTTCTGGTGTCATCCTGGGTGGCCACCTTGGCTTTTAGGGTATTTATTTTCTTATTTGTTTGTTTTCAATGGGGGGGGGTGGGAGGAGCTGGCCCTGCACCACCTCTGTGTTCCCCTATTCTCCCCACCTTGCCTCCTCTAGTTGTGGAGCCAGGCCTGTACTCCCCTCTGATGGTAGTAAGAACTGTGGAGTCGTTGATGATGGGAATGGAAGACCCCAGTTCTGTGAGAGGGAGGAGAGGCACTGGGGAGTCAGGGACTCTTCCTCTTCTCTCAGAGCTTCCTGGGGCCGTGGGCTGCAGCCCTTTGACCCTGGGGTGGGGATGCAGATGCCTGTACCTGGGTGACAGAGGTGAGAAAGGAGAGCAGTGTGGGTTGTAGTGAGTGGGGGTCTGGGAAGCATGCACACCGCAAAGGTATGTGTGGGCCCTGCCCCTGGAAGCTTCAGAGGCTCTTGCTGGGAGTGCCATGGAAATGTGGTGGCATTTGTCTTAGTACATAGGTTTGTGTTTGCATGTGTGTGTGTCTGTGTGCACCCTTACACGCTCATGCTTTTTGCCCCTCAAGGAGACCACTCACTGGTGGTGGACCTTCTACCGTCTCTGTCACGTTGTCCTTACCTCCCTGACTTCATAGGGCTTTGAGGCCTGCGCTCAGCTCAGTTATGGGTTTAAGAACTGAGGGCAGGCAGGGAGGCAGTGCTTAGAGAGGCCTGAGGAATTCTCAGGCTGGCCTCTCAGCAGGAGAAAAACACTCTCATGGGGAGGGAAGGGTGACACCCCCAGGGACAAAATCTTCCAAGTTGTCCCCATGCCCTCTAACCTCCTCTGTCCATATGGAGATTTTTTTTTTCACAGCTTCAGCATTTTTTTAATTGCCCGTTCTTGCTTTTATGTGTCACCATCCCACAGACAATGCAAATATTCTATAGCCAAAGAATAATGTGTGATAATGTTCATAAAAATGATGTACTTATAAGGCAAAAATAAATACCTGAACCTACTCTCCTCCACATGCAGCTTTCATCTGTGTCTTCAAGGCAAATTAATCTGATAATTGAAACAAAGAAAAATTATGCTGTTTATTTAATTACCTGAATGTTTCAAGAGAGTGGCTTAATGCCAAAATGTATTTTGGACCCAAATTATAAAAAGCTGTCCAAAAGCTGTATCCTGAGAGCATAATTCAGGCCATGTTTTTCTGTACATAGGGCTCTTCAGGCACAGACAATGGGTGCGCACCAGGACTGTAGGGATGGGGGTGGGGACAGGCACAGGCAAAGAATGCAGGCTGTAAGCTGATGGAGACACTTACAAGCTCACATCAATGCCAGGGACTTGGGGGGCTCTCCCTACAGTACCTCAGAATTTCCCTGGAAGAACTCCGGTGGGATCTGCAGGCCACAGCTCTGTAGAACCTCCACCTCAACCGAGAGTGCTGTGGGCTCCAGCGGAAGCCTTCCTGGGGAGACTGAGGCTGGCAGGCCAAGCAGGAGGGGGACAAAATGCACCCATTTTGCTCCAGCTGACAGCCTCTCTCAGGCCTGCTGTATCCAGTTCTAGATAGTAGAAAGGTCTCTGGTGGTCAAAGGACCTGCCGAATAGTCACTAAAACACAACACGGTTGCCCTGCCTCTCCCCCACCCCACCCACGCAGATCCCATGCTGGACATGCTTTGTCAACACCCTCCCTTTCCACTTATAGGACACTAGGTCCGCAGGAGGGCACACACACATCCCCTTTTTAACTCACTCTTTCCTGGGCACTGCTTTAGGTGTAGCATTAGACCCTCTAGACCGAGAGTCTGTATGACGCTGCTCTGCCCTGGAGGGCTGTCTCATTTGCTTCCCTCCACGTAGTGTCCTTTTGGAAACCAGCTGTAACATGGCTTCGTATACAAAGCAAGCCCAGTGAACATGATGGTGGGGAGTTTGCTTCTTTCAGGGCTTATAGCTCCATCCCTGTTGGAATGGAGACAGAGGCCCTACTCCCCTGTGAGCAGGAACCCTGGAGGGTCAGGTTGTCAAGTCGAGACAAAACCAAACCAGACAAAAAATTGCTTCATCAGGAACCTGGCCGGAGAGGGTGATTCCAATGTAAACTAATCTCCATTTTCTTCTGTGGGGGCCACTGCTTAGGCCAAGATTCTTCTGCAGAACCCAAAACCACAGCAAGAGGCAGAGGATCTAGCTCCTTATCTAGGTATTTGGGAGGAATTTGGAAATGTACCCATTTCTTTCCAGATCTCAGTTTTTTAGAAGGTCCAGCAGAGTCTGATTTTGGCCAATAGGGGTGGAGAAGAGAGTGTCTTCATGGGGCAAAGAAGCCTTTCTGAGTCTAACCCCCACCTCATCCCCAGCAAAAATACAGCTGTGGCTGAAAGAGGAGGGATTAGCTGGTCCTGCTGCCTCTTGCTGTGCTCACTGGGTGACTCCAGAGTAAGGGATTGTGGAGATAAGCTTGGGCCCATGAGGACAGGGGACCTGGTTGGAATTGGTGACAGAAAAAAGAGGATGGTTTTGGCTAACAGGAAGGTCAGCTCTTTCTCACATGCTGGCCCCAGCCTCACAGGCACTGGGTGAGGGGAGAAGGAGGGGGAGAAAGCATGCTTTAGGTGCTTTTAAGGGATCTTGTGGGGGACAAATTGGGGAATATTTGTAGGGGAAGTGGGTGGTATATGTGAAGTGTTGGCCCAATCTAGGGTGGCTGGAATGTCTAGAGAGTATTGGGGTGTGAGGTCATGTACCTGGAATTATTTGAGGAGGTTTGTAGGCAGGAAGCTGAAAGGCTGGAGGAGCCTATAGTTTCTCCAGGGCCTGGTATGGAGGATGCCTTAGGGAATGCATTTGGCAGCATACCAGTAGGGTAGGTCTATCTGTGTGAGTGTTTGGGGGAGAATTCTAGTTTTCTGCTACTACTAAGGCAACAGAGGCCCCAGTGCTCCCCCAGTGCTCCATTCTGAGCTGTAGGAGCACCTGGGAGGGGTGGGAGGGAAGGAAGTAGGCAGTGGACACTTTGTCTCTTTCTTTCTCCACTTCTGGCTGACATGCTCCTAGTTCTGAGAGGGTAAAGAATTGATGCTGTGGAACCTTCTAGAAAGACTTTCCCTTGGACTTTCCTTGGGTCCTGAGACCCTCTGGAGGCTGACAGAGGCGGAAAAACTGTGCCAAGCACAGCCCTGAGAATGCCCTGAGCCTTGGGAAAGCCAGGCTGTCTGCTTCAGCTCCATACTCTTCTCTTGGAAGATGCAGGCCCTGGGGCTTTATCCTACTTCCAAGTGTGCCCCACCTCACAATCCTGTAGACACTATTCAGACATTCTCCCATCTTTAAGGGAGTGTGTTTAATGAAGCCATTGGCCATGGGCTTGCATCTAACCAAGGGGAATAGCATCCAGGCTCGGCTTTGTCTTAGACGCTGCAGAGAGGTGACACGCTGGAGTGTATAGAACAGTCTGGCTGGGGGCGCCTGAGTGGCTCAGGTCATGATCTCAGAGTCCTGGGATAGAGTCCCACGTTGGGCTCCCTGCTCAGCAAGGTCTGCTTCTCCCTCTCCCTCTGTGCTGGCTCTCTCTCAAATAAGTAACATTTTAAAAATTTATTTAAAGAACAGTCTGGTTGGGCCCGCTGGAGGCACGGGGAGCGCACCTCTGTTGGCACTGTGTTCAAGGATCCCAGGTGATAGGAATCTGCTGGTATTAAGCAGGTACACGGGCTCTAGGTATCTAAGCCATAGGATTTTTCAGAAAAGGGGTTGAGAGTATGGCTTTGGAGGGGTGCGGAAACTGGAGACCGGGACCGCTCCCAGGCAAGCACTGCGGCTCACCAGGGCCTCACTGCTCCTTCTCATTCTCGGAGAGCTCCACCAGGCAGCGAGAATCCGGATCCCGCTTGCAGGGCGGTGCGTGCTCCCGGGGTTGGGACGCGGCATAACTGGACTCTGATTCTCTGGGGAGGTGGGGAGCCAGGTCAGGAAAGCCTGGAACTGAAAACCTTGCTGAGGGTGATGCTTCTCCCTGTCACCTCAGCTCTCCAGATGCCCGGAGGTGGAGCGGGGCCTGGCGGCTCACGGGCCGGGGAAAGGGAGAGAAGGCGCTAGCGCGGGCCTCGGTGGCTCAGCGGATGCTGTTGATGCTGCCCAGGTTAACGCCGCTGGGACCCACCAGCCTCTCCCGCCTGGAACTTTGGTGTAGCGAGCGGATTCAAGAGATATTCCCGTTGAATATTCCTCGCGGCGAAGAGGGAGGCCCCGCGGGCCCCAGGAGGAGTCCCTAACTTCCAGAATCGTTCCCTCACTGTTTTGGGTTGGAAACGGACCAGAGAGAGGTTCCTGCCCGTCCTAGAAGATTAGGATCCCAGTATGGAAGAGATCAGAACACACGCACAAACGATATCCTGAGGGATGGAGGCAGGTAGGGGGAGAATCTTCAGTTATCTGATTCTTTTTGAAACCTCTGCGCCCCCCACCCCCCGGTGCAACACGTCTAGGGACCAAATGGAAAATGTAAGGCCTACAAAAGAGTGAGGATGGCGATCAAAACCACAATGGTGGGAGATGGCAGACGGGCCTCGGGTGGGTGAGGCAGCAAGCGGCCGGGGGTCAGCGCTCTGAGGCTGTAGTTCCTCCCTCACCCCGCGTCGGGGGGAGGAGAGCCCCAATTGCGCGCTCCAGCTCTTCCCGGGAAGGGGGGCGGGGTCGGGGGGGGGGGAGACGAGGCGGTGACGTCAGACCCTGCGGAGCCAATCGGAGGCTGGCCTGGGGAGGGAGCGTGAAAGGATGAATGAAAAGTCCGGAGCCGGAGCGCGCCCGGGCCAGAGCAGCGGCCGCGGCGGAGGCGGGAGCTGGGGGGTTGAGGCCCGCGCGGCCCCGCTCGCCGCTGCTCGGCGGAGGCTGAGAGCCGGCGGGCATCTGCATCCCCGCGCCCGCTAAGCCCCGGCACCGCGGACCCCGGGCCACGGCTCTCCGTGGCGGCAACGCGCCGGGAGGACCGCACGGGAGAGCACGATGGGCGCCCGGGGCTCGATGTAAGTGGCCTGGCCGGCTCGGGGCAGCAGGTGGGCGAACGCTTCGGCGTCCGGCGTGCCTGCGCGTCCACCTCGAGGTGCCGGCCGAGACCCGCACCCTCCTCTGGCCTGCCAGGACCTCCGTGACGGTTCCCGTTCCCGATCGGAATCCCTGCCAAGCGCTAGGGTCCCTCTCGCCTCGGACCCCCGGCCATTTTCACAGCCTTGGGTGCTTTGTGGCCCTCTTTGTACAAAGCCGTTTCTCTGAGGGGTCCCGCGGGGCCTGGGACTCTGCTCACCTGCACCGCCTGCCCCATCTAGCTGGGGGCTCTCCCGGAACCCCTCCCGGGTGGGGTCTCAGCCTTTTACTTCTCCCGCCCCCCTCTCCCAGGGACGCGCTGAGGAGGCCCTGGGGCACCCACCCCGCACCGGCTTGCCTCCCTCCGGGTTGCCGGGATTTCCTGTTCCCTGCCAGGACGCCGCCGGGGGTTTTCTCCCCACGAATCGCTGCTCGCCCCCGGCTTTGGTCGGCGCCCTGCTTGCAGCCCTTCCCGAGCAGAGGTTCCCGCGGCTCCCACGCGGAGGCTCGGCTGCGGGGCTCGCCCTGCAGCCTCCGGAGGAGGGCGCTGGGGACCCCGTGGGGCCGCGGAGGCCTCCGCCACAGTCCCGGCGCTCTTCCCGGCTGGCGCGAAAAGCCCGCGAGTCCCTCTTCCTGCGGAAGCACCGCGGAACTCCCACTTCGTGCTCGGATGCGCGTGGGAAACGGGGTGCCTGGAGCTTCTCCAGCCCTGGCCGACCCCTGGACCTCGACGCCGCCGGCCGTCGCGTCCTTCCCACTCCTTTTTCGGTCTCTGTGGTCTCTGTGTCCTGGACTCAGGTCCTTCCGACTTGAACCCCGTTTCTCTCTCCGCCCCCACTTCCACCCCTGTGCCCTCTCCCACCTCCACCAGCGGCCGGGAGCGGCGGCGGCGGCGGCGGCCGGGAGGCTGCGTGGAAGAGGCGGCGGCATCAGCCAGGAGGCGGGGTTGGTTGTTATCTTTGGTTATCTAGCTGTATGAGTGGTGTGGAGTCTTCATAAAGCTAGATAACCGAAAGTAAAAATAACCCCATACACTGCGCAGAGGGCCCAGGGAGAGCTGGCCGCATGGGCGGGCGGGCGGGGGAGGCCTACGCGAGTGGCTGGGGACGTGAGGACCCTCGGGCCGCGTGGGCGAGAGGAGGAGCCGGTGGCCCGCGGGCCTCAAGACCGCACCCCAACCCGGGCCCGCGCAGGTAGGAGGCGCCGCCCGGTTCCCGTTAGCTAGATGCTCTGTCTTCGCCCAGAGCTGGGAGGAGGCCAGAAAGAGGCGGGGTGGTTCCTCCTCAGGATGGAGCCTTTCTGGACCAAATGTAGAGTGGGCCCCTGCGGGGGAAGCTATTCTGAGGCAGAGCTCCGTTGAGATCTAGTTGTGGGGTTATTTGGGACCGTGCCTGGGGCTCCCAAACCAGGCGTCTCCCGTGGGTGCCGGTGAACAGCTTTCCGCAGGTTATCCACAGCTCTTGCTGGGGTGGGAGGCTTTGGGGGAGCCCCTTCCCTCCTCTGGAGGAGAAAAGGAAAGAGCAAAGACCCTACCTGGGGTTTTTGCTTTCATCTGCTTCCCTGAAGCCAAGTAGGTCTACCTGGCTGGGGTGAGAGCTGAGAATGGCAGAGTGGAGATGAGCCGCGGAGGAACTGGAGGTACAGGCTGGGTTCTGTGGCCGTGGTGTGCAGAGGATTTCTCAGCTCCCTTGTTCACACTCTTTACTCTCTCTGACTCAGGACCTGGGTCTGATGTCTTGAAAAGCTTCTCATGCCATCTTTGTCTTCATTGATCAAATGGGTTGAGTTGGGGTCTTTTAGGACATCTTCCCTTCCCATCCCATCCTCACTCTCTTAGAAATCATCTCCAGGAGCAAATGGCCTCAAGGAGCTCAAACACAAAGGAATTTGTAGCTTAGTATTTATGCTGCCCAGAGAAATCAAAGAATTAGATTAATCAGGGCCTTTCCTAAAAGAATCCATTTATCTGGGCTGACCTAAATATTTTAAGCAAAAGCATTTGGGTGCAATTGAGAGGAGGGTGGTCTAGAGTCACTTGGTAGAATAAAACTAAATGTAGCAAGGCCCCACTGACTTTACTTCCTCTCCCGGGTCCATTCCCCACCACCTGGCAGGAGTGCAGGAGTGCAGGGCTAGAAAGAGGACAGGACAACTGGACAAAATGACCTTGTAGTGACTCCAGTTCCCTGTGTTAATTTACAGTTTCCTCCAGGAGCTGATTTTATAGCTAGGAGATTATGATTCAATTATATATTACGTGGGAGAAATATTGGGGAACCAAACTAAAACAGCAGGCTTCCAAGTGCCTAGAGCACATGTTTCCTCCCTTCGGGGGTTTGGAGGAAGGAGAGATTAACCACCTCTCGATTTTTCAGCTGTTTGGAATTTGGTATTTTTGGAGGGAGACAGTGGAGACAGGATTAGGGAGAAAGGGAGCAGGTTTGGGCAGGGACTGAGAATCCCTAACAGCACAGGGTACCTCCTAGTAACAGCCTCTGTCTCTCTGCCTCTCTTTGATCCTCCAACACTGAGGCGGCTGCTATTAACCCCATTTTACAGATGAGGAACCACAGACCCCAGCATGTACCTGATGTTACTCAATAGTTTCAACCCCCCGGTGGGGGGACAAGAGGGATGAGTGAGAAGGAGGGTATCTGCGCTTCAGGGGAAGGGGAAGGTCCAGGAGAAGAGACCTCAGGCCTGGTTGTGACAGGAGGAGAAGCACCAAGAAAGACAAGCCCTTTTTTTCTTTTTTCTTTTTAACTCTTCATGCAGCTGGTTGGAAATGTGCATGTGGGATCTGCTGAGACTCATCTACATAAGACTTAGAACTTATATTTTAGCCACAGTGGGTTTATATTGTTATTGTGGGATCCCCCATCAGCACATCTGACCACTGGCTCTCCAAAGGAGAATAGAGGAGCTAAGGGAGCACGTGGGTGGAGAGTTTACACCCTATAGAACAAGCATTCCCTCCTTCCGAGGAGAGGCCAGGAGGGACATAGTGGCCAGGAGGGATGTGGTGGGTGAGAGTGTGCTGCCTTATGTGTACATGTGGTGGTGCACATGGCTGTGTGGGCAGAGCTGTCAGGGAAATGATGGGTGCCTGTGCTGGGAGCTGTGTCTGCTCATGAGGGTGAGAACCCAAGTGACTTGGCTTGAGGTTGGATGTGTGTGACCCAACCACAGTGGGCAGGAGGCTTGGCTGTAAGATCAGGGATGCCTGACTATGCATAAGCATAAATCCACTAGAGGAACAGACGCTCTGGGATTTGGGAGGGTTTACCAAATGCAGACATCACAGTGACACCCCCGAGTCCTGCCGTCTGCATCCTCCAACTTTTATACCAGGTAATACCTCCTCCACTGAATGCACTTGGAGAACTGATGGTGTGGGGGTGCAGGGAGGCTGGCTCCAAAGGGGCTCAAAAGAGCCTCACCACTCACCAGTTAGCAAATTTCTTCCTTGGTACCATCACACTTCTGTGTCCACGAGTTTTTAGTTTTATTCTTCAGATCTTGCGACATCTACCCATTCCTACTGGGAAACAGGTTCTAAGCTGGTTTCTTTCCCCATTTTCCTCCCTCAGTCTCATTCTCATGCCTTCCTTTTTATTTTATTTTATTTATTTATTTATGACAGTCACACACACACACACACACACACACACACACAGAGAGAGAGAGGCAGAGACACAGGCAGAGGGAGAAGCAGGCTCCATGCACCGGGAGCCCGACGTGAGATTCGATTCCGGGTCTCCAGGATCGGGCCCTGGGCCAAAGGCAGGCACCAAACCGCTGCGCCACCCAGGGATCCCATTCTCATGCCTTCCTACTGAATTCTGAATCCAAGAGTTCAAAGGCAATTTTCTCCTAAATATCTGACTCAAGTTTTGATACCACCCACAACCTCACCCTGGGTCAGATTTTCCCCAATATGCAGCATTGAAAGGTTTCCCCAGCCACAAGCATCATCTCTGAGCTTCCACAGGATGTTTATATAAGGGGGAGAAGAATGTATGCCCTCAGGACTGTTACATGGAGCAAAGAAGTCTATGTAAAAGATCTTATAATAGGGATCCCTGGGTGGCGCAGCGGTTTGGCGCCTGCCTTTGGCCCAGGTTTGGCGCCTGCCTTTGGCCCAGGGCGCGATCCTGGAGACCCGGGATCGAATCCCACGTCGGGCTCCCGATGCATGGAGCCTGCTTCTCCCTCTGCCTGTGTCTCTGCCTCTCTCTCTCTCTCTCTCTGTGACTATAATAAATAAATAAATAAAAATAAAAAGATAAAAAAAAAGATCTTATAATATATTATGATATCCATGGGCGAAGAGTAATTCTTAAGCTACAGTTTGGAACAATAATCTGAAAACATATGGTTGATCTCAGGATGCAAAGAGGACAGCTCTTTGTTATGTTCTTGACTGAGGATCTCAACACATTTAAACTTGAGGAAGATCCTCCTTTCCCAGCTTTGGAGCTAAGGAGGCACTCCTGGGGACCTAGAAAGGCAGTGTCTGAAGTTTCGGAGGAAGAGGAACAGTCCTTGGGAAGCCCCTGAAGGGAAGAGGCTAGAGTCCATGGGGCAGAAGGGCCATCATGTTTTCTCTTCTTAACAGTCCCTATCACCTATTGGAAGGGTACTTAGGATTGGTAAACTGACTTACATAGAGAAATATGGCATGGGTAAATGATAATTCCAAGTTTATTCCATTAAGTTTCTAGAATTACTAAAAACACAGTTTATTTGGGTAAAGAACCAGTTAGGAATGGGTATAATTAACAAACCAAATGGAGACCTACCTGCCTATCAGTGTGCAGACTTTTCTTCGACACTGAACAACTTTAAGAAGGAGTGTTTTCTCTCTTCCCTCCCAGTCTGCCACCTCCCTGAATGCCAAATCAATCCCCAAGGTTGGTAACCTGCCAGAGAAGCACAGGCCCCTCTGTATTCTTCTGGGTCTGGAAGTCCTGCTTGAAGTCTGCACTTCCCAAGTTTGGGAACTAGGATATTCTGATACTTATTTCTTCACCTCATTCCCACCCCAATGTTTTGGGCACAGATCGACCTTTTCACCTTCCTCCCTTTGCTATTGAGACCTTGGAGATCTTGGGGAGCTGTGGCACTATCTCATCCAGAGGCAGAGTGTGCCAGCTTCCCTAGGAGACAAATGCATTTAGGTTAATGCTTTAAAATCATTGGAGGGAAGGAGTAGACAAAACCATGAAAACATTTTTGGAGCTTTGAGGAAAATGAGAAGCAGGATTATGGAAGGTAAAGTGTGTAGGTGCATATTTAGATAGGAGAGACATGAGAGAAATAGGGAACCCTTCCTTGCCACCCAGGCTCTCCCAAAGCTCATAGTGACACCCCCCCCCCTGCCTGCCCTAATCCCCCCATTAAGGCTGCTCTGAGTTTGTTATGACAGCAGCTGAAGGCCGCTGAATTGCTGTTTGCTGTGTCTGCTAATTGGACTGAAGGGTTGGGATCTGGACACTGAAAGAGACCATTGTTGCTGTTTACCTTCTACAATTGCCTCCCTGGGGGACCTTTTGGGTGAAGGGGAGCAGCATGCCCTCAGGGTCATTGCACCCATGCTCTGTCTCTGCACAAGGGACTGTGGTGGAAAGACAGTTCATCTCATTGCCTGATGTCACTGAGATGGTTTGAGCTTCCACAGTACACACGAGACAAGCTCAACACCTGAGTCAGTCTCCCATCCAGATCAGGCCACCAGGAGTTCCCAGGAGAGGGATGTTAGATGTTGGTCCTCCTCATCCCTATTCATTCCCTACTTCTTCAGGGGCCCTAGTTTTGCTGCGCACTCCAGCTGATCAGATTTAACCCCTGTACTTTTTCTTACATGCCTTCTTCCAGGCCAGTGATTCTTGACATGGTTATGCACTAAAATCACCTGGGGAGGTTTAAAAAAAAAAAACAACTGATGTTTGGGTCTAGTTCCAGAAGGATGAAATCAAAGTATCCGGGAATGAGGCCTAGGCATCGGTATCATTTAAAAGTTCCCTGGGTATTTCTAATGTGCAGCTAGGGATAAGAACCATAGGTGCAGACTTACCCCTCTGCCTGGGTGACAGACAGACAGACACACACACACACACACACACGCACACATGCACCTGTGCACACACCCCTAGGCACACACACTTTCCCTTTCCTACCTTCCCTACCTTTCCTCTCGAGCTCTCCATATCTAATACTGTGGGACAGATTGTGTATCTGCATATGTCTATCTTTCTCATCTTTATTACTAAATTCCTTATGGGAACCTTAGAATTTCAGGTGGAATTTAGAGATCTGCCTCCTGTCAACTCCTTCAACCTGAGCTCTTCCCCAAGGGCAGGAACTATGACTCTATCTCCCGGCGGATTTCCAAATAGGATTCAGGTGAAGACTGAGCTAATCGAGGACACTTAAGTCCTTGGGAATGAAGGAGATGTTCAGAGTTGCACTGACTCCTGGGCTCTTCCTCCACCACCCCCCATTCCCGAAGTCATATTGGCAAGTTGGAGATCTTCAGAGAGGAGAAACTTTCTTCAGGGATATCTGCCCCTTTACTTACAGCTTCCAAATGTTTCTGCTTCTTTTCTTCCCTCTAGCTTCCTACCTGGGGCGGGTGGGTGCTCGCCCACCCTCCCGCCCTCTTTCCTCTCCACTCGTGAGCCAGAGCCGCATCCAGCACCACGGACAGCTCCCTGACGGTGAGTAGGACGGCAGCGCAGGCCCCCTCCGGGAGAGGGGGAGGGGCCTTCTATCTGTCTCTAGATTGTGCAATCGGTGGGAATTGTTTGCAGGCATCCGTAGAGTCTCAGGAAGAGGAAAAGGCTGAGGGCAGTTGGCATTCCATCTTCAGGAAATTGCATTTGTCCTCTTTGGTGAGTCTGAGTGAGGGGCCGCTGCCGCAGCAGGAGGAGTGAGAGTTAGATCTCAGAAAGTATTTAACCTAAGGTCTTGTGAAAGCAGGTAGAGCTAGAATGAGCCTCAGCCCTATATTCCTCATTTTACAGATCCCAAGAGAGTGAAGGAGTTATGACCAAGGTCACTCAGCTGGGTAGTGGAAATGCCAAGATGCAGCCTCCTGAACTCCAGCCTGGCCCTGCCTACAGTGTCATATATATCCTGCATGGGCCTCCCAGCCTGAGTTGGGAGGAGCAGACCTAATGCTGGCAGGGAGGGTTCATAGGTTGTCCTCGTACAGAAAAGGACAGAATGCATGTCTGGACATGTGAGGTGTCCACACAAGCCAGGAAGAGATGGGACTGGCTAGTATCTCTGTCCGAGGAGCTTTGGAGGGGAGGCCTCAGACAGAAGCACAGGGACGCCTAGTGTAGCTGGCAAGCTCACAGGAGAAAAGGCAAGGGGGCAACCATCTGCCAGGGCACAGAGGCCAGCCGATGGCCACAAGGAGTCTCCAGAGGCCAGCAAGAGTCACGCAAACTGGAACAGGGCCTGGGAAAGGCCCTTCTGTGTGCCCAGGCCTGCTTCTCCAACACCGGGAGCCCAGAAACAAAGGGACCATTCTCTCTAGGATGTGATGCTGCCATCTCCGGCTGGCAGTGCCAGGTGGTGAGGGTATCAGGGGGTGTCAATCTATTATCCCCCCCCTCAACTCTTAGGTCCTCTGGGGCTAGATGTTGGGGAGGTGGGTGTTCCATGCTATGTTTCCATGGCAACCGCCCCAACCCCCACTTTCCTAAGCACAAAGAGAGACAGCTTTCACCCCCACCCCCAGGAAGAACCTGGGTCTGGTTGGGAATCTTCCCTTGGGAATCCTCCTTTCTGATGCACAAGCCTTGGCATGCATGAGCATCACCCTCTTTTCAGCACTGGAGCCGAGCTGTACAGGCAGCGAGGCTGGTGCATCCAGAGACTCTGGGAAGGTTGTGCGAGTGAGCAGCAGTCCCTTATACTTAACCGCTCTCCCCGCAATCTCTCCTGTCCCTCACTTACCACCCAGGCCAGTCTGAGCCGAAGTGACAGAGGCCTTGACCTTCTAGTCTTTCCCAGAAGTGAGGGACACCCTGCTACCTCCAGCAAGCCTCCAGGCTGTGGGAACGGGAGAAGAGGAGGGGGTCATCGCTGCCACCCTCCATCTGCACCCTCCACCATTACTCATTAGGCATTCTGCCCCCTCCTTCCGCTCGTTAAGCCTGATTTGCATACATTTGCATAATACAACTCATTTGCATTCCAGGAGGCTCATGGTAGGAGCCAGGAAAAAAGGGGAGGAGAGGAGAGAGAAAAGGGGAGAGATTTTGTTTTCATCAAAGTGTGTGGGGGGGGAGGTGGCAGGAAGAGGACAGAAATAAAAACTCACACTACTTTCTTTCTTCCCTTCTGTCGCCCCTCCCTGAGCTGTACTCAGATGCCAAAGAGAGATGCCAAGGGGCCAGCTTTTCTGTCCTTTTTTGTCTTGCTTCCTCTGGCCTTGGCTCCCCAGCCTGGCCCCCCACCTTGCTGGGCTCAGGCTTCAGGAAGAGAGAGACGGGTAGGAGGCACTGCTGTGGGAACGGAAGCAGAGAGAGAGGGAGAGGGAGAGGGAGACCGCCATCTCATGCAGCTGCCCTAAGATGGCCACCTCTGACAGGTGGATGGACACAGCGGCGGTGGGCCGGCCAGAACATGGAGGAGTCTTCCTGCCAGTGGAGTTGGGAAGAGAGGATGAGAGAGAGGAAGGCAGGAGGAGTGAGGCATGGCAGCCCGAGAGGAGGATGAGCCCGGCACGGGAGCAGGGCTGAGGGAGAGGCCTTCCTTCCTTCCAGACCCCTGGTGAACACCGGTGGTCAGAGGCCTTGATGCAGGATCTGATGGACTGTGGGTGACGGACGTATACTGGAGGGGTCAGAAGTGGGCGTCTCAGCAGGAGGAAGTAGAGGTGAGGACCCCTGCCAGTGTGAGGGTCTCTTTGGGGCCTCCAAGGGCTGCTGTGTACCCGAGATGAAGCTTCCAGTCTTCTCTGTCCAGCCCAGCAGTCTGGCTTCATGTTTGCGACTCTGCCAAAGCTGCGCCCTGACGGCCACCCATAGCCCCTACATGAGTTCACCCGTCCCCACTCAGGCTGGGCAACCCATGCAGAGCATTTCCTGCGGGTGTCATCCTGCCTGCTCCTGTGGCCTTTGGGTCTCCTGTGACATCCTTGCTTATGTGCTTGTTCAGTCCTCCAGGTTGGCCGGGTCTCCATTCATGAGTGCTCCCTAGGGTTCTGCAGACCTGCTAGTGTATCACATCTGGCCTTCTAGATGCTCTCCCACTTTGCTGGCTCTGGCCTCCCTGAACTCCACATCTGTCCCCTAACTGCTCTCTGTGCTCCCACCCTTAGCTCCAGGGGTAAAAGCCTGGAGGGGTGCACCTGCTGGGTTGATGCCCAGGCCCCAGCTGCCAGGAGGGCTTCCGTGCTTGGGGCCTCCATAGTGGTACATAAGCCAACCTCCCTCCATAATTCACCGGTGGCCACACCCCAGACCCTCAGAGGCTCAGCACTGTGTTTCCAGCCTGGCCGTGCTCCTGCTAGTCTGCCTCCACCACTGGTGTCACCAAACTCCTCAAGTCACATCAGGTGCAGACCCTCCCCCTCCACGGCACCGGCGTCAGGACCCATCTCTTCCTCCTTTGTAGTAGCTCTCACACCCATACCTTCCTTTCCCTTAACCCTGCCTCTCTGTCCACTCAGTCCATCTACAGGCATTTACCGAGCACCTGCTGAGTGCCAGGGGCCGTGTGAAGACAAAGGTGGGATACAGGGCTGCCCCGAGGAGGTAGTGGGAAGGTTGACCTGTGCCAGGTGCTGCAGGGGCATGGGGCAGGGCAGTGAGGCATGGCCTCCTGGAGGGGCCCAAGGAGAATTGGTGAGATAAAGGTAGGCAGGGTGTTGTCAAGTCCAAGGCCTGAAGGAGTTGGTGGTGGAGAGTGGACAGGCAGGGAGGCAGGAAACAGGCTGTTATGGGGGTGGGCTGTCCATTATGGGGACTCTGGGCCAGAAGGCGATAGGACATGGAGGCAAAAGTGGGTTATGAAGAGCCTTAGGGGCCCCACCAGGGAGTACCGGGGAGTTGGCTGACAGCCTCAGAGATGCTGGGTGCAGGGTGTGGCTGGGGAGCAGGAGGGACCAGGGCACCGCATCTAGCTGTCCACTCAGTCCAGTGTCCAACTAGACATTTCACTGGCTCTCAGTTAGTTCTGCAAATGAAGGACCAGATGAAAGGCCTGGGAGCCACCCAGGGAAGAGTCTCCAGCTCTTCCCCTAAACTCGCCCCATCGCCACATGCATGCCGCATGCCACCTGCACACAGGTAGGCTGATGGGGGCTCTCTGGGAGGAGACGTGGAGAAGCCAGGGTTGGTGCCTAACACAGGTGTCCCAGGGTCAGCTGAGGACTGGAGAAGAGAGGGCACTCAGTCCTGGAGAGTCCCTAGAAGAGGGGGTGAGGGAGGGGTGGCAGGTGGGCCTGGGCTCTGAGGGGATCCCTCTTGGAGAAAGGCGGTGGGAGGCTAGAGAGGCAGCTAAGGAGGTGAGAGGAGCTGCTGCTGGCCTCTGGGGGGAGGGAAGTGGGGGTGCCAGCCCCTGCCCCTCCCCCAGGCCCAGCCTCTGCACAAAGGCTTCTCTGTGAGTGGCTGTGGAAGTGGCCCTGTCAGGTGAGGAGGCTTAGCTCCCAGGGCCGACAGCGGCGGGTGGAAGGGGGTTGGAGGAGGGGAGAAAGCCAGATATGGGAAGGAAATGGAGAAGCTGAGATCTGGCCAGGCTCTCACAGTGACAGACTCAGGACAGGCTCCCCTCCACAATCCCCTCAGGCCCCATAGGCCCCCACCCCCTGCACCAAGGCCCTGCTGCCAGACTTCTTCCCCACTATAACTCCCATCATGCCAGGCCCTTCAGCCGCCCTTCCCCAAGCCAGCCTTTCCATGATGCTTCCAGCTCCTGTACCCCCTTTGCCCTCAGGAGGACTGCCTGAGACTCTACCCAGTCTTGTTGGGGGGGGGGGTCTTTCCTGGCCTGATCCCAGTGTCACCTATTGCTTACCAGCAGCGTGGATAGAACTTCTCTCCCACCTCCCATGCTTTGCTGTGAACTTTTCCTTTTAATAAATGTTTGGGTCTGGGACACTGGAAGCGGTAGAATGACAGCAACCCCAGCAAGCCCGAGGTTGCTCACAGATTTGGTAGAAGGGCTCCATCCACAGGATGGACTACAGGAGGGAGATTTTGGTTGTTGACGCTGGAATCAGACAGGCTGGTCAAGAGGCAAACCCTGGCTTCCCTCCTTTCCTAGCTAGGTGACCTTAAGCAAGTCACTTAATGTCTTTGGATCCTGACTTCCTTCCACAGTTACCCTGAGGAACCAGATGGGTCTGTGTGAACCAGGGTGTTTTGTAAGGCTGTATGCAGATATCGAGGGCCAATTCTAGAAGGGACTAAGAGTTAGAAGGCCCATTTCAGGTAGGTGGGGACAGTCAGGGCAGGCTTCCATGTTCCCAAATGAGGGCACGAGTGCTGGGGAGGAGAGTGAGGGGCTGGGTGCTGTCTGTGCTGAAGGCCTGCCTGGGAAGCATGGCTGGGCTCCATGCACTCGCTGGAGCTCTCATGCATGGTCACCAGCAGGCGAGCATCTTACCACCTAGATGGTAGACTGCATGGCCACAACTTCTGTCATCCTTCTCAGGAAGAACTTCCTGCTGGCCTGGTGTAAACACTAACAATCTTGCAGGGAGTGGGGTTGAATTTCCCCCACATTGCCCTAACCTTGTGGCCCTCATCTCAGCGTTCTCCAAGGAAACACTGGCCAGACACTGGGACCCTCCAGTGAGTGGACACAAAATGGTGCCTCCAAGCCCTGCCGCCCTGGAGTCTGGCAAGTCCCCAATTTTATGTTCCTCAGCATTGTCAGGAGTGAGCTAAATTCAGGCTTATCCAGATCCCTCAGCCCATGGGCCAGCAAGACTTTGAGCAGCAGGGTCTTTTGTCTCCAAGTGGTCATTCCTTGTTGTACAAGCAAGAGCTGGCGGGGGAGGCCTGGTTCTGCCATCATACCCCACAGATAGAGAGGAGCCTCTAGGTTTACAGGAGGGACCAGGCGGAGGCTGGCATATGGAAGGAGAGCCCTGGGCACAGGGGCATGAGCCTCACTCGGCCAGGGCTACCTTCTGCTGGGTTTGTCCATCTGGCACCAGCTGGCTTTCCAGCACTGCCCCCACAATCATCCGGACTCCTTCTGCTGCTGTTGCCATAGCAATTGGCTGCCATCTTGTACTCAGGGCACTACTTCCTATCTGGATCTTCCCATGGGGCTCCTGAAGGATGGGAGATAGGTCTCCAGGGATTTATCCCTTCCTCCTGACCACCGTCCAATAAAAATTAATATTAACATATAATTTTTTAAAAATAGCCAAGGTGGAGGCCAACTGTATGTCTGGCTCTGTGCACAATACTTCGTGTGTATTATTTCACATGGCCGAGAACGCATTGATGTTATAAGTGTAAGAGGTTTGCACTCAGTTTCGTGTTTCTGTAACAGGCTTTTCCTCTCTCCAGCCAGGAAATTCCAGAATCCTGCCTGCCCCTTTCTGGGGATGTCCTTCCCAAGGTCTTATGGAGATCTGTACTGCAGAAGTACCGTTGGCTTGACGTGGCCAATCTGAGAGGTAAGGAACATGTTCCCTGCGGTGTGAGTCATTTTTTGAGCTTTCTGGACTATGGCTGTTGGCACAGGAAACAGACTTGGCCGATGTGGTGATGTCCCAGTGCCCCTTAAAGACCTGGGGACCCAAATGTAAAATCTTTTATTTAGAGGGGTGCCCAGCTGGCTCCGTCAGCAGAGCATGTGTCTCTCCATCTCATGGTCCGTTCTGAGTTCGAGCCCTATGCTGGTTGTGGAGCCTACTTACAATAATAATAATAATAATAATAATAATAATAACAAATAAAATCTTGTGTAGAGAAGGGGAGTCAGTGTCACAAAATGCTTTGAAATTCTCCTTCCTTGCCCCCATCCCCACCCACAGAGAGAGGCAAGAGCCAGAGGCCACTGGAAATTGAGAGTTTCCCAGGCCCTCATGTTTGGGGGGCCCCCCAGGAAAGAGGTCTCCTTGCTCCTGCCTTCAGGGAGGTTCCAACAGGATCCCTGAGAGATCTGACATGGTGAGGACTCCCTCCCTCTGGAGCCCAAGCAAAAGGCAGAGAATGGTCACCTTGACCTAGAGGGGTATCCCCAGGGGATTCAGAGCAGGGGCCAGCTTTGCTGGGGGAATCTCAAATGAGAAGCAGGTGGGGAGAGAAAGGAGGCCATTCTCCACTGAGGCAGGGTGGGCTGGCAGGGAGGGGCTGGGGATGATTTACGGCATCATTGTTTCCCCGCCCCCCCCTTCCCAGCCCCCTGCTACGGGATGGTTGCTAGGAGATGCTGGCTATCTGTGTCTGGGCTGGGAGGGCGGAGCAGCAGAGATGGCTCCATCTGGACCCCTCCTCCCCTATAGGGGGGTGCTTGGAGCCTCACCCACAACCCCTCCCCAGGCTCCAACACACACCTCGTTGTCCCACCAATCCAGCCAGCCTGGGGCTCGTGGGACTCCCCAGCAGGCTGAGGGTCTGGAGCCAGGAAGGCTACAGTGGGGGGGACAGTATGTGTGCGCAGGGAGAGGCTGACAGTCGTGGCTGGGTACCAGGAGAAACACCTCACCTTGCGGCATTGGGGGCCAGGCCAGGTCAAAGGGGTAGGGAAGTCGGGGCCTCAAGGAGCCCAGGTTTGAGGGAGACCGAATCCTTACCTGCGGGGAGCTGCCAGTAGGATAGGTGATGGGTGAGGCAAATGTACCATCCCCAGTACAACCTGAGACAAGGTCCACGGCCCGGCCCGTTAGGCCTGCTGTAGGGTAGTGGGGTGAATCAAGGTCAGTGGGAGGGCGGTGGCTGAGGCTGGACCACCCCATCTGAGTGGAGGAGGGCAGTGGAGGGGCATGATTCACAGCCCCTCCTCTTCCCCAGATTCTCTTTTTAGATTTGAAAGCCCTTGGAGAAGTCAGGTGGGGTGAACTTTAGGGACCCCCCCAGAGCTGCTGTGAGCAGGACAGGGATGCTGTGCCCATGGTCCTGCTCTCAATGCCAGATTTCCTTGTAGCCCTTGCTGATCTTTTTCCTTCCTAGTTAAGGCTTCCATCCACCCCAGGAAGGAGGGAATTGACCTGGATTCACACCCGCGGCTCGGGCAAGCCAGACCCCCTCTCTTCTCTATCTTTCAACAGGCCTGGAAACTGGGTGTATTGCCCCCAACTTTGCAAAGGTGCAATCAGGGCCCCAGGAAGGACATGTAAAGGGCCCCGAGTCAGGGAGCTAGTAAGTTGGGCTGGGCTTCAGATGGGGCCTGGTGGGTCCCCTGCACAAGCTCCCTCCCTCCCTGGGCCCTGGTGGAACAGGCTCCTAATATATTCAAGGGCCAGAGTGGCGGGGACCTCCAAGCAAGTTCTCAGGTGCTGACCCGGAGGGATGTGAAAACCCATCCTTATGAGTGAAGACAGGACTAGGGAAGAGGCTACAGTTGCTGTGGAAGCCACCTGAGTTGTCCCAGGTTGTTCCTGGGCCAAGGGAAGCAGGTCTCCCACCTTCAGGCACATCCCCTGGGTCACAGCTTAACCTCTTACCTGCTAGGGATCTGAGTTCCCCACCTGTCATGGCCCTGGGTAGAGCTCCTGTAAGAGATGCCCAGACTCAGCCCTTTGTCGTGGGGCCTCCCCAGGCCCTTGCCTTTCTGGTGGAGGGGAGCCCCAAGGACTGCTGGATGCTCTCCCTGGAATTTTGTCCTCTGCCTCCTGCCAAGATCTCTATCCAAAGAGAAACTTTTTCACTCTTGACATTTTTTTTTCAGACCAAAAAGAAGGACCTATTTCACCCAGGTGGTGTGGGTTCCCTCTGAGAAGCCCTCCTAGGTTGACCAAAGATGAGGCGAATACTCCAGCAAGCTGACTGGCTGCTCCAGGAAGCCTCTGAGCATGATGGACATGGCATGGCCCTAGCTCCAGCCTGGCTGCCCATTAAGTTGGAGCCGCCTGGAGAGGGCTTCCTTGTACCCATGCTCCCGTGTCAACAGCTGTCCACCGTGGCCCATCCCAGTCCCTCAGTATTGTCTGAGTCGCTATCCTCTGAGATGGAGGTCCCATCTCATGTCTAATAAAGACTCCTGAATGTTGACCCAGTCCTGGTGGTAGTGATGTACCTGGGCAGGGTTGGGAAGGGAGGGTTCCCTCCAAGAGACCCACCACTGCAGCAGAAGAAGGAAGCCACGTGTGGGGTGGGGTGGGGACTGGGGGCTTCCTTGGCTCCTTCCACCTTTCTCAGCCATCCCAAAACTCCTGGCAGTGCCACCCAGGCTCTGGTCAGCCCCAACTCAGAGTGATGGGCAGGTGCTCGCAGCTGAGGAGGTACCACTGCAAGGAGCAAGAGAATGGGACAGGGTGGGATTGCCTATGTGCGAGATCACTGGGTTGCCCTCTCTCCTCCACAAAGGGGCCCTTCTTCACAAATGTCCTCCTGTGTTTGAACAGACCACAGAGAGAGAGCACCCCTGCCCCACAGGACCACCTGCTCCTGCTTCTTCTGCCCCTCCCCAGAGAGATAGAGGGGATGAACGTCCTTAGCAAAAGGGATTCAGGTTAGGCAGCAGACAGAACTTCCCAACAAGACCTGGGTAGGAATGCGAGGGCAGGGGACCCACAGTAAGAAGGCACTGGGACTGCTCTTGACACCATTTCCCCCGTAGCATGTCTGCATCCAAGGTACTCCCCCAAAAGATAGGCCCTCTCACTCTATAGAACTCATGCTGTAAAGTGTTAGAGTCCAGACTACCAACACTTTTTAAGATCTCCATCACCCTCTCAAAAGTTCTTCCTCCCATCTAACCACCACCCCTCCATGGAATTATAGTTTGAAACCTGGAATCTTCCTAAATAAAAAAACTTCAGATAGTAAGCATGATACAGTTCTCACAGCATGAAAGGGAAGTATGTAGCTTCCCCACCCCATCCCCAGCCACCTAACTCCTCTCCAAAAGGCAACTGGTGGTCCCGGTGTCCTCTCCAAGAGACTTCACATGCATGTACACACATATGTCTACAATCCCCTTTCCATTTGAACACTGACCACAGCACTTTCTAGCTCCCTAGACCGGGACTCCTAGCCTGAAGTCAAGATGAACCTCAGGGGCCCCTGGCATCTGCTGAAATTGCATACAGAATGCTGGCTAGGGACCTGGACACGGTTTCCAGAAGAAGGGACACATTAAAGCCACCTGGCCTATTCCAGCTCTTCATTTCACAGTGGAAATGGACGCTGGAGAGGAAGGCTGTGGCCAAGGCCCTCAGCATGGTGGAGACCTATCAGAAGAATTCCAAGCTCCCCCTACCCCAGGTACCAAAGAGCCCCAGGGTCTCCTGTAAGGACAGGGACTCCAAGAGCTGACCGAGTCCCAGGACGCAGCCAAGAAGAGGCAGTTCTGTTTGTAACACGATGGGCTTATTTAAAAGACTGACACTGGGCCTGGGCTCCCTGTGCCCCACCGGCGCGTCTAAGGTTCCCAGCCCTGCTTTCAGGCCACTTCCTGCTACCCGACCTTGCAAAAACCCACTGCAGCCCCCACCCCACCAGGTCGATCTCACGGAGGCCTGGGGTCAGCATGAAGGAAGTTGCCGGGGTCTGCTCAGCCTGAACATCAGTCTTCCCAGCCTCTTTACCCTCTGGGTGTTGGAGGACCTGGGTGGGGGAGGCAGCCAGTAACAGGGCCAGCCCTCTGACTGCACTAGGGCCTCCTGGCTTAGAAAGGCTGGAGGAGGTGGAGAGAGTGCTCTGAGCACAGGGAAGGGCACGCACTGGGCACAGCAGGTGCGAGAGGAGCCCTGGAGGGTGGGCTGCCTTTTGGAAACAGAAAGACCCAGACCCAGACAGGGCAGAAGGGGTGGGGGCCCTCCCTCGACAGGGATGCCAGCACTGGGGTAGGAGGGTCTAGGCAGGAGACTTCTTCGGAATGTGCTCTCAGAGTCCCACAGAGCATATGCAGATGAGGCCTGTCTGTATGCAGATGAGACCGTCTGTATGCAGATGAGGAGAAAGGGCATTCTCTTCTCAGGGTTACCATAGAGCCCAGCCCACCCCCTTCCCTCAGGGTCCCAGCTGCAGGGCAGCCAAGGAAGAGGCCAGGCTGGGGAGAGGCAACCTGCAACAGAAGGTTAGACTTTGGGAGGGACTTACCCAAGGAAAGTGGGCCATTCAGGGAGAGGGGCCAGGAAAGAAATGGGGACTAGTAGAGGGCGGGAAGGGCAAGCCAGGCAAGAAAAATGAGGGTGCACTGTGACAGGACCCAGCCCCCAGGGAACAGACAGGCCAACACAAAGCCAGGAGCGAAGAAGGGGACTGAGCATCTACTCCTTGCCAAGCCCACTGGGTCCCCTCGGTTCCAGCGATCGCCCTGTGAGCCTTGCACGGGCGGGGAGGCCCCCATGGGCTGACAGACACGTCTGGACTCCCTGTTTGCAAATGGCAGGCCCTGGCCTGTCCAGCTCCACAGCAGGCGCCACAGCCTAGAACCTTCCTTCTCCTTCCCCGGCAAGCAGACCCCGGGATGGCTTCTCCTGCCCTTGGGGAGGGTGGCAGGTGTCCAGGGTTAGGGAGCTGTACCTGGCCAAGGGGCCCTGGCTGGGAACTCCTGGGAATTGGCCATGGAGGGTGGGTTTGGCTGTTGGGGACAACAGATGGGGTGGATACCAGGAGGGGACATCAGGTTGGGGAAGGATCCCAGGGATAACAACGCGGGGGAAACTGAGCCCAGAAGACTGGGAGAGTTGCCCTCCTCCCTTGGCAGATAGAGTCCCAGCTGGGCCTGAAGTCGGGATACTGGGCCCCTGGCCCAGTGCCCCTTCCTGGGAGTACAGAGGCCAGGAGTGGGGGTGTCTTTGAGAATGGCTTCTCCCTCCGGTCGCCCCCGGCCCCCCACATCCAGTGGTGGAGCCAAGGCCTTTGTGGGGAAGCCACAGGGAAGAGAGGCCCCTTGTTGGCCTGTTCATCTAGCCGGAGGCTCCGCCAATGCCAGCCCCCCCGCACCGGCTGGGCTCTCCTTCCTGGGGGCGCCAGCCAGCCCCCACCCGCCGCTGCTGCCCACTGCCCAGCTCTGCTGTTTCCTGGAGCCTTGGGGCTTTGGCCCTGGTCCCAGCTGAAGTATGGTGGGGAGCCCCAGGCCCAGCACCTCCCGTACCTCCCCTTTCACACGCTGGCACCAGAGCCGTGGGAACACCGGGCGGCAGCTGGGCACCGGTGCCCCGCTCTGCCCACCCCCAGCCCAGCCGACCTCAGAGAGGGGAGAGGGGCAGGCTGCCCCCAAAAAAGCCCCTTCAGGATGGGGCCCTAGAAATCCTTAGCACTAATTATGAATCTGGGGGAGAAACAAGGCATTTGCAAGTCAATTAGTGACAGAACTTTCCCAGCAAAGAGCTTCATCCAGGCTCAGCCTCAGACAGGGCCACATGCTGGGTCATCTTGTCCCTCCTCCTGTCTCTGCCCTGCTCAGAGCTCAGGATGGAGGCCGTCCCAATGTTTTGCCAGTTTCCTCTGTAGTGGAGGGTGCCAGGACCCGGGGTGGGCATGGGACTGGAGGGCCAGGCCATGCTCTGGGGAGGCTCCCACTGAGACATGGGACATGTCCTGTCTCCCGTCGAGGCCCCCAGTTCCACCTGCAGCACAACCCCGGAATTGCAGAGGAGACAGCTGGCCCTTACAGGGGTGCAGGATGGGTTGACAGAAAATCATGTCATTGTGAAGGGGCCAGGGTGGGGGCTTCCCTGAGCACAGAGAAACCAGGGCTGGAGGCGTGCAGCCCAGGGAGGGATCCACTCCACCTATGGGAACTTCAGGTGGGCCAGCCGCTATCTGGGGCCACTTCTCACAGAGAGGGAGACAGGGCGGGATGTTGCTCCTCCCAGGCCTGGGAAAGGCACTCTCTGCCTAGAGGACCCCTTAATTGGGGGAAGGGGGGGAAGGAGCTGTTGGTGCAAAAGCCCTAGAGCCAGCCTTGCTAGCCATCTGAGGGAGATTAAGGGATTACAATTAAAACTCGTTTGCAGACCGAGCAGGTGGGTTGGGGCTGGTGCTAACGATCTAATTGCAGCCTTAGCCAGGGCTGTAGCCAGTTGCTGGGCTCTAATGAGCAGGGGGGCGGGGAGTTCGAGGCGGGGGTGGGTGGGAAGAGGTGGAGTGTAGGGGCCAGGAGGGGTGGGGTCTCACCGAGCACCCCAGTTCCAGGGATCACACCAAGGAGGCTCCCTGGCTACCCTTCCCCGGGGACCCAAGATGAAGAAGCATGACGGGTTTTCAGGCCAGGAATGAGCAGAGAAGGTGCGTAGGTACTGATGGGGAGGGGCCATTAAGGCAGGACACGGTTAGAGTGTTCTCTGTGTCAAGTACTGTACTAAATACTTCATAAAGTTATATAACCCCCTCAGGATGAGACTGAAGAGCTGAGGGTCACAGACCAGGGAGTTCCCTTCACACCCATCCTTTACAAGAAGGGACTGATGGACAAATCCTCTCTAGGCTCTGGGAGACCCTGAGCTGAGAGTCCAAGCTTGTGGGTTGCAGCCCCCAAGGCCCAGCTGCAGGGGCCCAGCCTCCTCCGCTGACTCTCATGCAAGAAGCACACTAGCAACCTGGACTTGCAGAAGATGCCACCCAGCTGAGCCTTCGCACAGACCATGCCCACTTCTGAGGACCCTCCTCCCCTCCATACCTGGGGTCCCCTCAGTGGAGGGTTGTCTCTGGCTGAGAGGGTGCTTACACACATTCAGGAAACACATGAATGGCCTGCAGAGGGGCAGGTGTTTACTTCTAGAAACTAAACAGCCTGACCCAGAGTAACTCTAGGAGGATCCTGAGCAACTTGGATGGGGTTGTCTCTGGGACCCGACCTGGGAGTGGAGACTGAGGCTGGAGGGAAACTAAACTGTATTGTTTGTCCTTTTGTGCTTCCAAAGTACAACAAAGGAATTACTTATTCAGAAACAATTAAATGTAAAATATTAATTATTGCGTCTTTTTAATTTTTTTATTTTTCTTTATTGCATCTTTTATAAAGGCTGGGGAGGGAGAGGGTTTTACCCCAAAGGCCAGAACATAAGCAAACCCTGAGACTCCTCATTTAAGAGTGAAGAGTGGGGGCAGCCCCGGTGGCGGTGGCACAGCGGTTTAGCACTGCCTGCAGCCCGGTTTAGCACTGCCTGCAGCCCGGAGTGTGATCCTGGGGACCCGGGATCAAGTCCCATGTCAGGCTCCCTGAATGGAGGCTGCTTCTCCCTCTGCCTGTGTCTCTGCCTCTTTCTGTCTCTGTGTCTCTCATGAATAAATAAATAAAATATTAAAAAAAAAACAAAGAGTGAAGAGTGGGATTTCAGATCCTCCTGGCTGCCTCTTCCTTCCTCCACCTGCTCTTGCTTCCTCCCATGGCCGCCAGGGCCTGGTCACTAGACCTCCTGCTCTGCCCAGGTCCCCCCAGGACCTTGTGGGACCGGCCCTGAAAGCAGAAGCACCCACTCCCTTGCCAGATGGTGTCGGAGGCAGAGCTTGGGCTCTCACTACCTCCCTGCACATGGGCAGGTCACTGAAGCTCCCTGAGCCAGCAGCTGTCCTGGGAGGGGACGGTGGTGGCCTGGTGGCTCCTCTGCAGCTGAGGGTATGCCACCTGCCCCCCCACCCATGCTCCGCAGACTCTTTCTGCCTGGTCAGCGTGGGCCTCGCCAGCCTGCTGTGTGCTCACGTGCCCTCTCTGCACTTCTGCATCCCACTGGGGCCCCGGGTGCACCCCTGCCCTTCCTCTCCTAGGGCGGCTACACCGAGGGCAAAGGAGGTCTGGTGGTGGAGCCTTCGCACTCACATCTGCAAAATGGGGCTACACAGAGTAGCTCTCTGCCAGAGCTGCGGGGAGTTAACTGTGCTAATGTATGTGGCGTGCTTGGCACCGCACAAGCACAAAGCGGGAGATCCTAGGAGCGGCTGTCACTGCACTTATTAAATGGGAGGGACCCTGCGCAGGGCGCTAGCCTGTGGAGGGGACTCCTCATTACTGCTCTGGTTGGGAATAATGAGGACTGTGGTAATAGCCCCTCACACTCCCAGGCCTACTGACAAAAGGCCCAACAAAGTAGGAAGTGAGTGTACATAATGGGACACTCGGGGGCTTTGCCCAGGCTGGGGGGCGCCAGGAAGGACCCTCTGGCTATGGCTACAGGTGCTCAAGGACCCTGCAGGCTAGAAACCCAAGCCAAAAGGAAGCTGCCCTTCCTCTGCCTCAGTGGGGACAATAGCCTTCGGATGCAAACCCGGGTCAGGATCAGCATGGGGGTGCCTGGCTGATGTGTGCTAGGTGCCTCTGGGTGCAGGTGTGGCACTGCGTGCCAGGGCGCACCCAGACCCCAGCACCTCAGGCCTCATGAGGCCAGGGCGTGAGATGACAAGAACCCAAATTAATCAGTAAAATACATCCAGGGTCAGTTGGTCCTACACGATCTGGAGAGAAATAGAACAGGAAAAGGGGATGAGAAGGGCCAGGTTTAGGAGGTGAATCGCAATTTCAAATAAGGTGCTTAAGGAAGGCCAGATTTTGTTCCACTTTTTCTTGTGAAAAATCGTAAATAAACACAGAAGTGGGGAGGATAGTGTGAGGAGCCCCCACCGCTCTGTCACCCAGCTCCCACACCTCCCAGGTTAGGCTCAGAGTTGTAGTTTTGAAGCCAATCCCAGACCTCTTCCTTCATGGACGGCGTGGTGGTTTGAGCCAAGAGCAGAAATATGGAAGATGGCCCCATGGTCCTTGGAAACATGGGCATTCCAGGCAGAGAAATGCCAAGACCAGAGCCCTGGGCCTGGGGTGTGCAAGAGCAACCTCTAATCTCAGCTTGGTAGCAGGTTCTGTAGCATTTCATGAGTCTCCTGACTGCTCAGAACTTCAGTTTTGCCATCTGTGAAATGGGGCTGATTCCTCATCCCACAGGGAGTTTGTAGGAGCAGCAGGGCCAGGGTCTGCTCTCAGCCATGTCTGGCCCCAGAGAAACTCAGCAGCTTGGTGGAGGTGAGACTAGGCCCCAGAGGACCCAGGACTAGGTGGGAGTAGGAGGGGGTTTGGGGGAAGTCTCCTGAAGAAGTCTATCCCTTTCCCTGCCCCCGGCCAGCAGGCCACAGTGATGGGGAGGAGGCTGAGCCCAGAGCTTGGCTACAGTTGCTGGTCCGCCCCTCACCCCCAACCCCATGGATGGGCCACAGGATCCCAGGCTGCTGGAAACAAGGGGAGCCCGAAGCCTGAATGGCCACTGTTCTCTGAAGAGTCTTGGTCCCCTTTAAAGACCCTTATCACCACCTCCACCTCCCTCCCAGGGTGATTATCACCCAGAGGGGCCTTTCCTAAGGGACATAAAGAGACCCTCAGCTCCCATCCTTTAGGCAGGATAATGGGCCATTCACACTGAGGGGACCCCAGCCCCACACCTGGCCCTCTCAAGCAGCCTGACTCCACTGCCCCATTGTCCCAGTGGCAGGGGAACCCGATTCCCCAGCTGGAGCACTCCTGGCCCTGCCCCCACCTCTCTAGCCGCTTGAACTCGGGCTTGATTTGGGGGAGGTGGGCCTGCCATTCATCCCACCCCCATTGCTCAGAATTTCACTCCTCTCGAAAGCCCTTACAGAGCGATGGGAAAATGGGAGGGAATAATTAGGAAAATCATTAGCGTCTCAAGGCCCATCTGAGAGGGATTAAGGGATTAAAAACCTTCCAGCCAATCTCTCCTAGTCTAAGGTTGTGGTAGGGGTTTTGTTTTCAGGACTTTTCTCCCCTCTTTTCTTCTGAGTTGGGGCAGACTAAAGTCTTGGTGGATCCTTCCTTCAAAAGCCATAGGAAAAAGTCAAGACACTGAAGTCCTCATGGAGAAGAATGGGGGGAAGCAGGTGTGTGGGGGAGGGTCTCTTCCCAAACTCTCCTGGGCTGCTTTGGGCCACTTCTCAGGGCCTGAGGGAACCATGGGGAGGGGGTGTTGAGGCCAGGCTAGGCTAGAGGGGCGACTTCCACCTGCCCTGAGCACTGGCCAAGGGCTCAGCAGGCTCTGCTACCCCTAACTGGGTGCGTCCCCCTGGTGGCCCCAGGCTGGAGGTAGGGAGGAGGGGTGAGGCAGTAGGATCAGGCTGTGCCTCCGCAGTGAGCATGGGCAGGTGCTGTCTTCCAGCCACCCGAGGTCCATTTGGGGTGAACAGATAAGCAGCTCCCCACAACACCCCGTGAGGGGGGCTGAAATGTAAAAGGAGGCAATGGTCCACAGAGGACGCAGACCCGAGCCAATCTGGAGGGTTAGGGACCATCCCCTGGAAGAGATGACCATATTTTATTCATGGGCACCTGGTAGGCGTTCAGTATTGCACTCAAGCACATCATCCCCTTTCCTGGGGTCTCACCGTCTCATTGAGAGGGTCCTCTCAGTCACAGGAGAAGTTCAAATACTATACCACCCAGTTTAAGGCAGACGGGGATGCTGAGGGCTGTGGGTTGCTGGAGCACAGAGGTGCCTGTGTGTGAGTTAGGTATGAGAGTCCTCATGCCTCCATCCCAAGACACCCCCGAGTGTTCTGGGCACAAAAGGTACTGGCATCACGTGGTTCTCTCATACACATGGGGGCCTCCCTGGTTCCAGTTCTGGGGCTCCCTGGGGTGAAGGTTGCCCCTGTACTTCTCTCTGGAAGGCCCAGCTCTCCCCCTCCAAGCCTCTGTGCCCACTAAGCTCTGGCTCAAAGGGCCTCTACCAGGGCCAGGCAGTGGTGAAACAGAGCAGCCCTCTTGAGGGTTGGTACAGAGGTGGGCAGAAGCCACCCCGCATCCAGCGCAGAGCCCGGGGTACGGGAGATAGATGCTGGCGGCTGCAGCCTGCTACAGCATCAATAATCGTGTTTATTAATGGTCTTAATTAGCAACTGCCAACAAGAAGCTCGGTGCTAATTCCACCAATAATCAAGGCTTGCGGGGCGTGGACAGAAGGGCTGGCACAGAACGGCTGACTGGCTGACAGCCACGGTATACCGTGCGGGGTCCGGTTCCTGAGCAGCTCGAGGGCCAGAAAGAAGGGGGACCCTGCCCCCCGCCAGCTCCCACACCAGGGTTCCTTGACCCCCCGTGGCGCAGCCTCCTCAGATGGTGTTGGGACAAAATGAAGCGTGAGGAATTGCGGGGAGGAGGGGAGACCTCTGTCTGTGTCTTCAGAGCCAGAACCAGACAACAGCCCGTGGGATGAAGGCGAGTTTATAAAAGCCTGAGTGAAATGAGCTAGAAAGGGATTGGGAACAAGCTCCACAGTGTCCTGGAGCCACATTCCTTGCTCTGGGGAGACGGAGGTGGATGGTGTGAGCAGGCAAGGAGGGGACACTGGGGGGTGGGCAGCGTCTCCAGCTGAGGGCTCTCCTGCCAAGAAGAGCAGGGTGGGAAAAGCAAGTTTAAGAATCCAGACGATGCCCAGGCACAACAAAGCCACTTCCTCTCTCAGCCTCCGAGCCAAGCTGGGCCTGCCTGGGGCCCCTGAAGACCAGCCGAGCAGGCCCAGAGAGCCCCAGATGTCCAAGCCAAAGAGAGAGGGTCGCTTTGAGGGTGGGAGCTCTGGTCACTCCTCTTCCAGGAACTGCCCAAAGCAAGGGGGGCCATCTGCAAATGCCCTCATGGGAGGGAAGATGTGCTCTGGGGCTAGGGCCCAGGGGGGGTCCTGGCCATGTGTGGAGATGTGTGAGAACACGGGTTTGGCTTCTTCCTGAGGTGGCGCCAGGAGCTTCCATGAGGCTGAGCAGCCCAGGTCAGAATGCTCTGGAGGAATTCTGGGTTGGACCAGAAACCTGGACAAAAGAGCAGCTGGGTGAGGAGCTTCAGCAGGGCCCAGTTCCAAAGGTGGGGGCTGCGAGGCAGGCAGAACTCTGGTATCTTCCCTGGCTCCATGAAACACCCCAGCTCCCTAGTCCTGACTTACCTCTTATCTAATAGCACCCCAATGTGGCCCCTGGAGGCCAGGCTCCCCTCACACGCCCCCAGGATGAGGTTGCTGTGTACATCACCCTTGCACCTGCACCTCTGGGGAGGCCAGAGGGACAGAAGGGAAGAGCTGCATGGGGGATGAAAGGCTGGGCCAGCCCAGAGAGGAGCAAGCCTCTGCCGCAGCGGGAGAACCCTCCACCAGCGTCTTCTCCCTCCGTCCCCCTTCAACTCTCTTCTGCCTTACTGGGCCTGGGTTTTCCCAGGACAGGTCTCCTTTTAGTGTTGCCCTGACTGATTCCTCCTCGAGAACCTGAGGAGTCCCAGAATATCACTGTCTCAAGGGCCCAAGCGCCAGGTCTAGAACAGCTTTTCACCCGAGGGTCATCAGCCCTTGATCGTGAATCTCCGGAAAGGTTCAGGAAAAATGGATTTAGGTTCTGCACCCCTTCCAGTCTCCAGACCGTGTGCTGGAGCTTGGCCTGCATATGTCCAAGAACAGGGCTCCGGGCACCTCACTGCCCAACACAGAGCTCCCTCAACCAATGTCTGAGTATTTTTTCTAAGTAAACTCTATACCCCACAAGGGGTTTGAACTCAGGCTCCCCTGATCAAGAGTCTGAGCCAGCCAGGCACCCCCCACACCCCCGTCTGAGTATTTCAGGCCAGGGTTTGACCAGTCCCATATGTTAGCCAGATACAGGTTCCTGGGCTGGCCTCCCCCTGGGCCCACCTCTTCCATTTGTGGAGGAGGACTGCATGTGCAGCCCTACACCTTCATCACTGGAGGAGTTTCAGTCCTGCTGTGGTGAGCCTTTATTCAGGGCACAGACAGGGCCCTTAACTGTGGCACACAGCAGAGGGAAGTGTGAGGTACATGCTCAGAGAGGACCACTTGGGATGGCTGTCCCATAACCTGGTTTGGGGAAACCAGGACATTCCCCTTGAGGCTCTGGACAGGAATCAGCTTCAGAAACACCTGTAAGAGTCCATTGGGTCGATGTGATGTGAGAAAATGGACAGAGATGGGGGAGAGGGGCTGGGTGGATAGGCAGGGGGAGTGGAAAGAACACCAACCACCGAGCCAGGCTTCACCTCTGAGACAGGTTCAGAGACAGGAACTGAGCCCAGAGCCTACAGGGCACCAACCTAGTGAGCAGGGAGGGAGGCTGGGGGCCCTCCACAGTCCAACCCCCAAGTCAAGCCTCTCTGGGGCAAGGAGTAGGTGGAGGGGACAGGTTTGGGTCACCTCTGCCTTGGGCAGAGGCTGGCGATTAGACAGTGCTGTGGAGACAATGGCGCTCTGTCCCAGGGAGCTGGTGACAGCTCATCCCTATGCAGTGGCTGCCGGCCCCTCTCAGGCGGTAGAAGCCAGCGGCGGCGGAGGGGAATTCTCACAGGCCGGTGGCATTTGCATAGCCAGCTCGCCTGTCCGCCTGTCCGAGACATTGGCCCGCATTGTTCCCGCCAGCGGTGGTGGCGGCGGTGGTGCACGGGCGGCCCGAGCGCGCGGGGCGGGTGGCAGGGCCAGACAAAGGGGCTGGGGCGCAGAGCTGGGAGGAGGCGGGTAGGGGTTCTGATGGTGGTAGAGAAATATCGGGGTGAGGCGGGGTGCCCGCCGAGTCCATCTGCCCCGATACAGCCACCGACCCCCACGTTGGACACCCACGCCGTGTCTAATTCCTCCCTGAGCCGGTGCCATGCGCCGTGATGTGCATCCCAATGGCGCAGCTCAGGCTGTTCCCAGGCTGCGCAGTTCAGGCCGGGTCCTCCAGAGGTCAGAGGAGCCGCTGCAGTCAAAGGACTCCAGCCACACACACAGGCACGGAAGTACCAGGGGACCTTGCAGATGTCTGCACGGTAAACCCCCTGTCATGGACACAGAGCCACTGGAAACCAGAACGGGGCCTCTTCCAGAAACCCTTTCCTCAAGGTCCTGGCCCTGCTGGCTTCCACACTGACCTCAGCACACCCTCTCCCCATCAGTGGGACCATGTCCTCGTCCATCACTGTCCCCAGAGCTCAGACACTGGAGCTGGACAGAGTTCATGAGTGGACAAGCATCTGATTGTCCTGCATTGAGAGTAATAATGGTGGTGATCAGAGGGGCTGTCCCTGAGGGGCAGAGGCATCATTGTCCTGCAGGGTGAGGAAGAAGCCCTCCGGCCCCTGGCCCTGCCATCTCCTTGACCTGCTCATTGTCACTCTGTTGACCCAGCATGGATGGATGGGCTGCTGTGTGGAGGACCAGCCAGGCTGTAGAGCAGATGGAGGAGGGACTGCAGAGACACCTGTACTTCCCGCCTTCTGAGCTCCCCGCCTGAAAGCAGTGATGGGACCATCACCCCTGTTCCCCCATCACTCCCATCCCCCATCCCCTTCTTGCCCCCCCATCCCCAAACCACAAGTAATGGCTTTAATCACAGGGCACAGTCAATGGGGTGCCCAGCGGCTTGCTCAGGAACCAGTAGGGGAGGGAAAGGAAGAAAAGCTGTGACAAGCCAGCCCCCGGCTGGGGAAAGCTCAGCCCTGGACTGAGGCTCTTGAGCCAAGCTGTGGGTTCTGTGACAGAGCTCAGCACTGACTCCAGGCCATGGGAGGCTTCTTGGGGGTGATGGAGCCTAGAACTATCTGCCTGCAGGACACGTGAGGCTTCGGTTGTGGACAGTCCCTGACCAACCTGTCCTTCCTCAGGGACTTCTTGGTGGGCCACCCCATACTTCCTCCCCTGAACGCTGGCTGGCTGATGGCCTTCCCCAGAGAGGGCTCAGTTGTCCCCTCTCCAAAGCCTCTCTCCACCAAGCTGGGTGCAGTGGCCAGCCAGGGCTGGAAGAGGCTCTGTTTTCAAGCCTGGAGGAGATGTGGCTGCCATCAAGAAGGAACCAGAAGATGGGCAGCCCCAGTGGCACAGCAGTTTGGTGCCACCTGCAGCCTGGGGTGTGATTCTGGAGACCCGGGACCGAGTCCCACATCAGGCTCCCTGCATGGATCCTGCTTCTCCCTCTGCCTGTGTCTCTGTCTCTCTCTCTCTCTGTGTGTGTCTATGAGTAAATGAATAAAATCTTAAAAAAAAAAAAAAAAAGAAGGAACCAGAAGAGGATCTGTTGGAAAATTCTGGCAGAAATGACTACCCAGACTGAGCCAGGGCAGCAAGGGTCTCATCCTTTCACTGAGCCTCCCCTTCCCAACAGGCTTTCAGGTCCCTTTGAGGATGGTTGGGTGGTGAGGGTGGGGGCTCCAGTTCAGCAGCTGGGCCTGGACCAGCATAGGGCTGGGAGCTGAGTCCCCAGGGGGTAAAGAGGGATGAGGCCTCAGCTTTCCCAAGCCCCTTCCCTCCCCACAGGGGCCGAAAGCACAGGGAACCCTACTGCAACCTGGGCAGTCACCCTCCTGCCCCAGCACAGGTGCTCCCTCCCACACCCACTCCAGCCAGCAATGGGGGGCTCTGTGGAGGAAGCAGAAAGCTGATGGGCTGGGGTATAATGGGGCTCTGTGGACAGAGATGGGGTCCCTTAGTGGCGCTGCTTTTTCCTCCTGTTCCTCTCAGCTCTGTGCTTGGCCTCCTTTCCCAGCCACACTCCGTCCCCCCAACTTCCATGAGGATAAAGCCTGGTGGGGGTACCTCTTTTCCTGATCCAGAGGCAGGCCCCAGAAGTCCCTTCCCCACAGGTCCCTGGGTCTGAATGGGTGTTGATCTTGAGGGGAGAGGCCTGTGGTCTGGGCAGCTCCCACTGGAGGAAGGACAGGACAGGGTGGAGGGGTCCCCGCTCTCTGGGAGGGGTGAGGCACTCCAGGCTGCTGGAGGGGTGGCCTCTCTGCTGCACAAGATCTGAGGCACTAGAACCCGCCTGACATACAGTGGGAACTGGGAACTCAAAGCAGACTCAGGGCATGATGGTGAGGAGCAGGCAGAGGTAGCCAGGAAGGACTCCTAGGAAGGACACCTGGGAAGGACACCTGGGAAGGACACCCGGAAGGGACACCCAGGAAGGACACCCGGGAAGGACGCCTGGGAAGGAACAAAGGAAGGACCCCCTGGAAGGACACCATTAAGGACACCAGGAGAACCCCCAGGAAGGACACCAGTAAGGAACCCAGAAAGGGCGCCTGGGAAGGACACCCATGAGGGTGGAGGGTGAGGGCCGGGCCTCCGCTTCTTGTGCTGGATCTGGGGCGCCCTCTGGTGGTCAGAAGCCTCCGGCGTCCAGGCTGGGCCTGCCTCCCTGCTCCCATGCAGCCTCCCTTTGGGCGCTTCCCACTCCCCTGTTGACCCCAGGGGCAGAACGGTGCCGGCTGCTGGCTGCGTCCAGGGACACAGTGCTAGCCTGCTCCCCTTTCCAGCCCCTTCTCCCCTTTCAAGTCCCACAGGGGCCGCTCTGCTGCCTTTGAAGGCCACCCACATCAGGAAGGGGAGCAGATGCCATTCTGGGGCAGGAAGGCCTGTCCAGCGGCCCAGGCCCCACATGACAGACTTTCTAGTAGAGAATGAGTGCCCTGTCCATGGAGGCAGGCAAGCCCAAGCTGGGCACCACACAGGGAGCTACATGGGGCCCCGGGGGGTGGGAGTGTGCTGGCACCCAGGTCCCCCCACCTGAGCCTGCCAAGGTTTCAACACTGTGCGTTAGAGCCAGAGAGGAGGTCCCTGGATTCCCGGTGCACAAAAAGGAGTTGGAGTCCTTGGTATAGGTGGTGTTTATCACCAAAACAGCCATCGGGCCTGGCGCACACCTCATGGTAATTGCTGCGCCCAATACCTCGCTCACCGGCCCAGGGGTGGGGTGGGGGTGCTGTGAGTTCTCCCCCCAGCCTGGGCCAGGTGCGGCTTCCCCCCATCGCCGCCCCTTCCACCTCCCTGTGCCCAGTACCCCAGGCAGCTCTCAGCCTTTCTTGTATCAGGAGAGTCAGGAGCTAGAAAAGAACATCCCTATGGCAGCCGGTCACCATCTCCTAAAACAAGAGCATCCTTTCGTCCTCTCGAGGACTGGAAGCAAGTTAGGCCTGGGTATCTTGCTCCTCCGCCTTCAGGGGTCCCTGGGCTGCATCTTCATGCTCCCCAGGCACCTGGAGAGCAGGAGTGGGGGAGCAGGTGAAGAGGTCGCTCCAGGGGGCTGAAGACCACAGCTGGGGCATCCCCCAAGGGAGAATGAGCAGGGAGGGAGGAAAGAGGGGGGTCTGAGGGCCTGCAGGCAGCTCACCTCCCAGTACACCTGGTCCTCATAGCACTGGCAGTCTGCCGGGGAACCCAGGCAGGGCAGCTTCAGCAGGAGACCTGGTGGCAGTAGGGGAGGGGTTGGGAGGGGGTGAGAGGTGCAGGGGTGTGGGGGGGTTGGAGGGTAGTCTCCGCAGGATGCCTGCCACAGAGAACCCAGCTGGCCTTGGGGAGCACCTGCTGTGTGCTGGGCCAGGCCAGGCAAGGGCTCATCAAGCCCCCCACCCCCACCCCTGAGTACTCACAGCAGCTAACAAGCTACCCATGACCCTCTGGTCACAGTGAAGGAAGCTGAGGCCCAGAGAAGTCCAGCCCTTACTGGTTCCCCTAAACATTAATGGCCTAAACCGTGAGGCTCCCATAAGCACAGCTCCTGGGCTCCCCGTAACCTCCATCCAGGACGGCTGTAGAGGATGTTTATTGAGTAAATAAGGAATTAAATGACCCAACGAATTGAACATTGTGGGAGAAGGTGAAGCTCACTGGTGAGAGCAGGGGCAGGGTGCGAATACTGAGTCTCGGGTTTTATTCTGGGGGCCACGAGGACTAAGGCCAGACATCAGGAAGGACTGTCTGACCCGGGTCAGTGGGCAGTCTGCCTCTGCGGAAGGTTGTGTGTTCCAGCCCCCACCCTCTGCCCCTGTCCTTCCCCTCCCACCTCTGTCCATCCCCTCTCTCCCACCCCTGCTCCCTACTGAGCTTGGATTCCCTTAGGGGCCTCAGCCTGAGGTCGTGCTGCCCTCTGGTGGACAGAATGGGCATCACAGGGAAGCCACAGGACTGGACAACGGGTCCCTAACTTGCTCCCCGTCTTCTTCCAGCACCAGGAGGGAACAAGCACCTGCTTCTGGAGGAGGTTACCCCTGAACTCTGCAGCCCCTCTCCACACCTGACACAAAGCAAGTGCTTAATAATCATGTGAGCAAATGAATGTCAGGGGGATGGGATCCAGAGGCCCTTCCTCCAGAGAGCACCCCTCCTCTGTCTTCCGTGCTCCGGGGAGCTCCTGCTAGCTGCACGCCCCAGCCAAGGTCACTTACCTCCAAGGGCCCCACCCACAGAGGCAAACATCAGAGTGACAAACAGCCCGAAGAGCTGGTACATGGCCTGAGACATGGCAGTGCGCTGGCCTTTGGCTATGAGCGGAAACACACTGCCTAGGCTGCAGGGAGAGGAGGTGATGGGGAGATAGAGCCAGAGCTAGGGCAGGTCACTGCATCACACAGAGGCCAAAAGGACCTCAAGGGAGCCCAGATCCCCCTTCCGCCCTCGTGTGCCCGCAGACATGTGCTTTTCTGACTCAGTCTGAGGATCACTGTGCTTGTCCTCTGACCCCTAATGTGCAAACCTCCATCTTGAAGGTTATTATGTTTTCCTGTCATTATTCATGAATGAATGAATGAGTAAATGAAAATAGACACTGCTTTTTGTGCTGGTCCACTGAAGGAGGAAGAGAATGAGAGAGGCCACCTAGGGGGATAATGACCTTGTAGAGGGTCAGGGATGGGGAGGACTCACCCTTCTCCGTAAGCTTCATGGGTGGCCAGCCCGACCACAAGGACCCCCAGGAGGGCTCCCAGGACCCCAGGAATCCCATGGAGGTTGTGAACACCACATGTGTCTTGGACTTTGAATTTTGCCTCGAGGATGGGCTGGAGGACAGAACACCATCATGAGTCTCGTGTGCCTGTCCCCACTGGGCTGTTGGAGAATGGGGAGAAAGGTGCTGAGGACCCCTGCTCTGCCCAGGACCTGAGAGGGATTTATACCGTGAAAAACTTGTAGCCCAGCGTGGAGACCGTCCCAGCCAGGAAGCCAGCTGCCAGGGCCCCAAAGGGTGTCAGCATCATTTCACCTGCTGTCCCTACCATAACCCCTCCGGCCAGTGCGGCATTCTGGATGTGGACCTGGGAGATCAAGGAGAGCAGGGCATTGGAGGCTCTTCCAGATTGTCTGCCCAGACCAACCCTGCTCTGTCCATCCCCCACAGCAGCATCTCCTGCCTCTGGAAGTCCCTCTGCTGTCTGATCTCTAACTCTCCTGCTGTCATGGGGTCTTGTCTTGCTGTGACCCCGCACATCTGGTCCCTGTGCTCATGCCGTGTCCTGTTCCTCTGGAAAAT